GGCTGTGCTTCCTAACCACCTCTTCTCTCCCACTCTGATCACCGCTTGGCACACAGAAGTCCTCCAGTTCAGCATCCTCAGAGGCCTCTGAAACCTGCCAGTCAGTCAGCGAGTGCAGCTCTCCCACCTCGGTTAGTTCTTGCTCCACCACACCTTGTGGGGTTCAGTCTCCAGATCCCCCCCATGGGGCAGAGCATCCTGGGCAGCACGCGTGGCTTGGGGGGGACACATTGGTGTATGCCCCTTCCCGCCCTGCCCCACTTTTGGTTCCCAGTCCCAGTTTCACCAGCATCACCCCATGCCTTGGCTGTTGCAGGACTGGTCCAAGGCTAGCCCCTATGACCAGCCGGTGGTCCCAACGCTACAGCGGCGCAAGGACCGCGTGGAGCACCTGCGGGAAGCCGAGATGAGCTTACCCACCGGTGGGTACCCTGGCGTTGTTAGTGAGGATGCTCCCAGACCCCGGATGTCCCCAGCTACCATTGCTGCCAAGGTACCTGCTCCACTGGGGACAGCACAGAGGCAGTGGGCTTTTGGGGAGCTCCCAAGAGAGAAACCAGGATGCTGATGGTGTCCCCTTGTCCCCACAGCATGGGGAGGAGGTGTCCCCTGCTGCCAGTGACCTGGCCATGGTCTTGACACGGGGGTTGAGCCTGGAGCACCAGAAGAGCAGCCGGGACTCGCTGCAGTACTCCAGTGGCTACAGCACACAGACCACAACCCCGTCCTGCTCTGAAGACACTATCCCTTCCCAAGGTATCCAGCAAGGGGCACCCAGGGCCACCCAAAATGGCACCCAGAGAGGGGAAGGGGACAGCACATGGTTTGGTGATCCTGGGGTACATCTGTGTGTGCTGGGTGTCATGGCATCAGGGTGGGTCACATCACACAGGGGCTGGTGAGTGAAGATTTAATGGAGGGGGGAGGGTGAAGTTCAGTGTGTGGCACAAGCATCATGCTACACCATAACTGCAGTTTCACCTGGTTATTTGGGTGTCAGTTGGGTCTTGATGGCTACAGTTGTGCCAAGCAGTGCAGTAACAGGTAGTATCACAGCAGGGTGATGGTTTGTGGTGACGTGTTTCTGCCCAGCATTTGAGTACAGGTGGAGACGGTGGCAGATGGTGGGTGATGGCAGTGGAGGTGACAGTTGGAATCAAGTAACCACAGGGATCGGGTGGCATGGTGATGGCTGAGCCGGTTGTGGGCATGTGGTGGTTGGCTGTGATTATGTTGTGATGGCAGCGGTTGGGGTGGTTGTGATGGTGATGGTTGGGTTTGACTACAGCCATGTCGTGGAGATAGTTGTGGCCAGTTGTGATGATCATGGCTGTTTGTGACCATGTTAGGATGACAGCAGCAGGAGCTGGTTGCGATTGCACTGCGATGGTGACAGTTGGGTTTGGTTGTGATCTCAGTGCAGATGATTGGGTTTGATTGTGGTTGCCCTGAGATGGTGATGGTTGGGTTTGATGCTGATGATGGTTGGGTTTGATGGTTGTTGCCCTGCAATGCTGATGGTTTGATGGTCAGCATGTTGTGCCAGCAGTGGTTGGGACAAAAGCAGTGATTGTGTTGCAATTCATGGCAGTCGAGTTTGGTTGTGGTTGTGTTGAGATGTTGGTAGTTGGGACTGACTGTGATTGCATTGTGAAGACGGTGGGTGGGCTTGGCAGTGCCACCACCCGCCTGGCCACACTGGCCACGCTGCCTCGTCCCCAGGCTCTGACTACGACTGCTACTCAGTGAACGGCGATGTGGAGTGTGATCCCCAGAGCGACTTTGACAAATCCTCCACCATCCCTCGCAACAGCAACATCGCCCAGAACTATCGGCGGATGATCCAGACCAAGCGTCCTGCCTCCACTGCCGGGCTGCCCAGCGGCACCAACCTCCCAGCCGGCACCACCCCAGGGGTGGCCACCATCCGCCGCACGCCCTCCACCAAACCCTCTGTCCGGCGTACCCTCTCCAACGCTGGCCCCATCCCCATTCGACCCCCTATTGTCCCTGTGAAGACCCCCATGGTGCCCGACTCCCCTGGCTACACCGGCCCCACACGGGTGGGCAGCGAAGAGTGCGTCTTCTACACCAACGACCCCTCGCTGAACCCCCTGGATTTTGCCAAAGCATCACCCAAGAGGCTGAGCCTTCCCAACACCGCCTGGGGCGGTGGGGCCATGGAGATCTCTGTCTACCCCGGGGCTGGCCAGCACCTCTCTGCTGAGGAAGAGGAGGACCAACAGTTGGCTGCCAACCGGCACAGCTTGGTGGAGAAGATTGGCGAGCTGGTGGCTGGTGCACATGCCCTGGGTGAAGGCCAGTTCCCCTTCCCCACTGCCCTCGCAGGGTCCGGCCCCAGCGAGGAGACCCCTGCGCCGCCCCCAGCAGCCTCCATGGACCCCCCGGCTGAAGACATGCTGGTGGCCATCCGGCGCGGGGTCCGTCTCCGCAGGACCATCACCAACGACCGGTCAGCCCCACGGATATCGTGATGATGTGCCCACAGAGGCCGATGGACCCCCCTGGGGCACCCGCTGTGCCTCCCGGGACAGCCCCGTTGGCACCTGCTGCCCCTCCTCACCGCCCTGCTTCCTGCTCCTCTGTCTCTTCCTTCCTTCCCCTCGGCCCTTTCCTTTCTTTGCATTTTTCCTTTGCTTGTTCTCTCTTGGGCTCTTTTCTGACTTTTTCTCATTTTCTTTTATCTTCTTTATTTTTTCTTCCTTTCTCTTTGTCTCTTTTTTTCCTCTTTTGCTCTTTTTCTGTTTTCTTCTTTTCTCTTTTCCTCCTTTCTTCTCTTCCTCTTCTTCTTCTCCCCTTTTTTTCTTCTTCTCTTCTTCTCTCTTTCCCCTTCCTCTCTCTCTCCCCTTCCTCTCCCCTTCCTCTCCCCTTCCTCTCTCTCTCTCCTTCCTCTCTCTCTCTCCTTCCTCTCTCTCTCTCTCCTTCCTCTCTCTCTCTCCTTCCTCTCTCTCTCCCCTTCCTTTCTCTCTCCCCTTCCTCTCCCCTTCCTCTCCCCTTCCTCTCCCCTTCCTCTCCCCTTCCTCTCCCCTTCCTCTCCCCTTCCTCTCCCCTTCCTCTCCCCTTCCTCTCCCCTTCCTCTCCCCTTCCTCTCCCCTTCCTCTCCCCTTCCTCTCCCCTTCCTCTCCCCCTCTTTCTTCTTTTCCTCCTCTTTGTCTTCTCTTCGTTTTCCTCTTCCTTTCCTCTTTTTTTTCTTCTCTTTTTTTCCTCCTTTTTTTCCTATTTGTTCCCTTTCCTTTTCCTCTCCTTCATTTTTCCCTTTTGCCCTCTCTTTTACTTTTATCCTCTCTCTTTTTCTCTCCTCTCCCTATTTTCTTCCCTTCCCTCCCAGGACACAGGCGGGTGCCCCAGCCCCCGGGCCACTGGGGCACAGCAGGAGCAGCACCAGGAGCAGGGGGCTTGTCCCTGTCCCAGTCCCATTTTGAGGGGGCAGAAGCAGCAGGGAGGGGGCTGAGGGGGGATGTGTGAAAGGGTAGGGGGACAGTGGAGGATAGGCACTACAGCCCCTCCAATTTGGGGGGACACCAGGACACAGCTGAAGATGCCAAACCTCCTCTTTCCCCCCCCCAGAGATCACTGGGGACCCCCCCCAAACCCTCTCCCTCTCCCTCAGCACCCACAGACCCTTTGCAGGGTCCTGCTGAGGGAGCTCTGGGGGGCAGGGGGGGTTCACCCAGACCCCCCCAAAGCAAAGCAGCTGGAGGAAAGCACAACTCCCCCCCAGGCCCCGCTGTACATAGTCCCTGACACCCCGCTGTCTGTCGCATCGCAGGCCCCTTTTCCCTCCCTTAGGAATATCTATTTAGTTCCCCCACACACACCCCTTCTCCTGCCCAGAACCGCTGATGCCAAGTGAGAAATGTTTGGGTTTGGGGGAGGGCGGAAGGGAAGTCTCTTGTTTTGTACAAGAAAACACAATTCCTTGGAAAGATAAAAAACCAGCCTGTCTTTTGACTGAAGTAACTTTTCTGGTGCTGTTGTTAACTTCGTCCTTTCTCTTTTTCTTTTTTTTTTTTTAATTTATTTCCCCTCTGTGTTCCTGCCTCTGCTGCCACTTCCCCTTTCCCCATCCCTCTTACAGGTTTCTTTCTCTTTCTTTCATTCCCTCTTTTCTTTTAGTTGGGGATTTTTTTTGTGGTAATTGCCCTCTTTTCCACCCTTCCTCCCCCCCCCCCCCCCCCCCCCCCCGATTTCCATAGTCACTGCTACAAGTAACGAATGCACTGTGAAGATTCCAGTATTAATAAAGGTTGTACTGTAATTAATAGCCTCACCTGCAGTCCTGTGGTACCCTGGGTCATGGGAGATAAGGGAGGAAGGTCCCATCACCCCTTTGCAGTGCCCTTGCTTAGGGAAAAGTGGGTGCTCTGGGGTATGATGGGATGAAACATGCACATCGTCAGGATGATGGAGAAGAGAAGCTGCGTGGAGACCTCATAGCAGCCTTCCAGTGTCTGAAAGGGGCCTACAATGGTGCCAGAGAGGGACTCTTCATCAAGGACTGTAGCAAGAGGACAAGGGGTGATGGGTTTCAATTGAAACAGGGGAAGTTCAGGTTAGATATAAGGAAGTTCTTCATCTTATATTCTTAGAAGATATATCTTCCTTCCTTCTTACATCTTTCCTCACCTCTTGTGAGGGTGCTGAGGCCCAGAGAAGCTGTGGCTGCCCCATTCCTGGCAGTGTTCAAGGTCAGCTTGGATGGTGCTTGGATCAACCTGCCCTAGTGGAAGGTGTCCCTGCCCGTGGCAGGGGGTTGGAACTGGATGAGCTTTGAGATCCCTTCTAACCCAAACCAGTCTGGGATTCTTTGATGAGGCAGCCATCTGAGAATGCTGAAGAGCATGCCCCTGCCCCAGATCCCCAGGAGAGGGGGTGCAGATGGTATTCCCACCACCACCTCCCTCCATCCCGGCAGCACCCGCGTTGCCACCTCCCAGATTACGGAGACCTGTTGCCAAACCTTGCCGGTGTGGCATAACTGCTGCAGCGAGCGAGAAGATGGAGGAGCTTGGTGTGGGCAGCGTCCTGCTCACCGGCTGCGACGGGGGCCTGGGCCTGGGGCTGCTGAAGGGCTTGTTGGAGCAGCACAGACCCCCTCAGCACCTCTTTGCTGCTTGCCTGGACCCCCAGGGGAAGGTAGGGAGGGTGCTGGGTGGGGGGAAACAGGGACAGTTCTGGGATGGGCTGAGAAACACAGAACCTGGGGGTGCCACCATCCCCACCAGACTCTGGGGGGCTGAGCATTAGCATCCTGCACTGTAACTAGCATAGAAAAATACATATTCATATATATTTAATTTTTTCCCTCTTGGCATAGAAGTGGCGGGTGGTGTTGGGGTCTGGGGGTGCTGGCAGTCCCCCATGCTGGGGGCAATGCTGCCAGCGTCTTTGAAGCTGCTGGGCTCAGCCAGGTGGAGGGAAGCTGCAAATTGCCCCATACCTCTCCCATTGGGGCTTGTTGGAGCCTGTTGTTCCCGTCATGCCGGTCCACCCAGTTCCCATCCCAGCATGGCATGGGGGCCACCCTCTTGATGAACCCTCCTACCTGACTCTCCCACTCCTTTCTCCATGTAGGCTATCAATGAGGTGGCTTTGGGCAACCCCAGCGTCATGGTCCTGCCTCTAGGTAGGTGCCAGGGCAGGAAGGGGATGAAGGGGATGAAATCTCTTTGGATTTAATGGCATCTGTGGGTGGCTCTGGAAAACATCACCCAAGCAGGCAGGTCCCTTGGTTTGGCTGAGCCCAACCAGGTCACTGCAGAGACTGGGAGAATTCTCAGTGGCCAGGAGCTGCCTCCTGCCATGTCATACAGCATCTTGACTGAGACATGACCACTGACTCATCCCTAAGCCCTCCTGTCCCCTTGCAGACGTGACAGATCCCAACAGCATCAAGGCAGCTGTCAGGAAGGTGAAGGAGAAGGTGGGAAGCGCCGGCCTCAACCTCCTGATCAACAATGCCAGCACCACACGGAGCAGCACGCTGGCCACTGAGACAGCAGAGAACATGACCCTTGTTTACACCACCAACACCATTGGCCCCCTGCAGACCAGCCAGGTGAGGCCACAGGTAACCACTGCCTCAAATGCTGGGGGGGGGGGGAGGAAGAGGATGGTGATGCCCAAGCACCCATCCCGTGCAGGCATTCCTGCCCCTGCTGAAGGAGGCGGCTGAGGCTGAAGGGCAGCATGAGATGAGCTGCAGCAGAGCTGCCATCATCAACATCTCCAGCATCCTGGGCTCCATTGAGGCAGGGGAGGCTTGGGAGGAGCGGCAAGACATCTGCTACCGCTGCAGCAAGGTACCACTGCTGAGGGAATGCGGACAAATTTGGAGGTCACTTCCCATGGGATTCCCACACACACACACTGGCCATGGCATTGCCGGCCCATAATGATGGTGGTGGGGTTGTTCCCTCCAGGCTGCTCTGAACATGCTCACAAAGTGCCTGGCCCTGGAGTATGGGGGCAGAGGGATCCTCTGTGTGTCCGTGGACCCTGGTTGTGTGACGCCTCCCCTGGGACAGGGGATGGTGAGTGACAGGAGGTACATGGCTACCCTGGCTCAGCACAGTCCCATGGGCATCCCTTCCTGAGTCATCCTTTCCCAGGGCCTCCCTTCCTCAGGCATCCCTTCCCACGTTCATCCCTTCCCATGGGTATCCCTTCTGATACGTATCCATTCCCAGGTCATCCCTTCCAGAGGCATCCGTTCCCATGGGCATCCCTTCCCGGGGCATCCCTTCCCAGGGGCATCCCTTCCCAGGGCATCCCTTCCCATGTACATCCCTTCCCATGGGCATCATCCCTTCCTGGGGCATCCCTTCCCATGGGCATCCCTTCCCACTGGCACCCCTTCCCGGGGTCACCCACCCCTGCACAGACCCTCAATGCCAGGGGAACTGCACAATTGAAGCAAAAGGGAGAATTTCAGGCTCTTCCCCCCAAACTAGCCAGTTTCTTCCCTATTTTTCACTTTATTTCCCATCCCAATCTGAAGTCAGCAGAGGGCACCCCAGCCCCACACTCAGCTCTGGTGGGGGCAATGCACATGGGGTGCTGCCTCCCCAGCACCCCAAATCCCTCTTACCCTCTGACAGTACCAAGGGGAGGCTGGAGCCGAGAAGAGTTTAGAGAATGAATGAATCACTTTTTATTAGGAACCATAAGATTGACCTCCATCTTTATAACACCCAAATTATACGGATGCTTAATTTGTGCAAAGCTGCATCCCTTGGCTACTGGAGCATCTCCAGTCTTTCCCAGCCTGCCCCAACTGGCATCCCACTGCAACACATGATGCAGTTTGGGGTGCCAGGAGGGGGACTTGGAGTCATTTTTTATCCTATGCCGTTGAGTCCACAGGGCCCGGTGACGATGGAGGAGAGTGTGCAGGGCATCCTGCGGTTGCTGGCACGGCTCTCAGACACCAGCAATGGCACCTTCTGGGACTGGAGGGGGCAGAGCCTGCCCTGGTGAGAGCAGCACCCGGTCTTGGTGGCCACTGATCTCAATAAAACGAATTAATTGCCATTTCCAGGCTCTCTCTGCATCTGTAGGGTGAGAAGAATAGGGATCCCCTACTTGGGGGTGGGAGCTGGCGTTGCTGCACCTCCAGGGATGCAGAGCTGGACCAGGGAAGCAGAGGGAAGGATGCTCCAGGAGTGGTCCTGCATCCTGGTGTCAGGCTCTGCTGGGACATCCCTGAGGCCAAAGGATCCCCTTGGGCATCTTCACACTGCAGCCCCATTCTATAGCCCATAAGCCACACTCACTGGTGGCCAGAAGACATCCCAGAGAGCCTCAGAACCACAGCCATGGGGCAGCCTTACTGAAGCCTGGGTCTCTCACTGCTGAGCCTGGCTCCCCCAAAACTGATTGTCATTTCTCTACCCACCATGTGGATGATGAGGGCTTTATTTTCCTGCTGCCTCAAGGCCAGCAAAAGCTCTTCCTTTTCTAGCAGCTGTGGGTTTCACAGCTGGAGCATCTCCCCATGTCCCTAGGGATGTCCTTTGGGACCTCACCCTGAGCTGGCCCTCTCTGCATCCCTCCCATCTCACAGTACTTCATGAGACAGTGCAAACAGGCTCCGATGCCTCATCTTGTGAGTGTATTTCTGTGGCTGGTCTCACTTGACATATTTGAAGCCTTCCCTCAAAAGAGGGACCTGAAAAATAGTGTCGCAACATCTCAAGCAGGCTGGACACGCAGGGCTTTGGCAAGCCCAGCCGTTTGCGATGGGGTGCTCTGAGAAGCCTGGCCGGGGTCATTTTGCTGGGGCAGTTTCAGCTTTCCCACGATGGAGGAGCCATTCCCATGCTTGATGGGAATGAGCACGAGATGGGAGCTCAGGCTTGGAGGCTTGGGATCCCTGGACCACCTGGGAGATATTTGTTAAGGCCAGTAGGGCTGGACGAGGGGACCCCTGTAATTAAAGCCCTTTATCAAGCAATGGATTATAGTTGGTGGGTTTTATATGAGCTCTGCATTAGGTTTTATATAAACATGAACCAGCATGAAGAGGGGGACGAGGAGGAGGAAGACACTGCATCCGCTCATGCTGCAGTGCACACAGCCTCATTTGCATGCTCTCATAGACCTGTAAGCCTAAGCGGCCCACAGCCAGGAAGACACCAATTAAGGGCTCTAATAGCCGATTAAGGTAATTAATGAAGCTGGGAAGGGGAAGGCAGCCGGCCGGCCCTCAGCCCCTCCAGCACACTGCCCGCACTGTGCTGCCAAGGACAACAAACAAATCCAGATGTTTTGTTCCGGGGAAGTGGCCGGGGCTGATGGAGGCAGCTCTGCAGGCGATGGCTCTGGAGGTCCCTGTATCAGGGGAATATCTCCTCTGCAAAGCCAAGGAGGGGACTAACACCCCAAAAGAGGAGGCAGCGGAGGCAGCTGGTGTTGTTCTCTGCTGGTCCTTTATTTTGGGTAAGATTGGAGGATCCTGGGACCTGGTTGGAAGCTGTAAAGCTAGAGAATTAACTGGTGTTTAATGAAAGCTGAGGGAAAAATACAAACCAAGAGAAACGGGGTGATGTCCAACCCCCCCCAGCCCACACCCCTGCAGAAGGTGACTGGCATTTTGGATGGGGTCAACCCCATGGCTGTGCGCAGTCCCACAGTCCTGGAAGGGGTGGTGTTTTTTCCCCCTTTTATCCTTCTTTGGGAACCCAAAGAGGATCTGCTGGGGAGGCAGAGCAGAAGCAGCATCCCAAGCTCTAGGGCAAGGAGAAGGCATCAAGCAAGGGGTCTTCTGCAGCATTAGGTGGACTCCCACTGACCTACGCAGAGAGGACAAGTATCAAAACATGGGACAGAACCTCAATACACATAACCTCCATTCCCCACGGTCTTTGTCTCCCCAGTCCCCACTCACAGGGTGCCCCGTAAAGCATCCGCATGACCTTGAGGCAGTTGTCCAGCAGCGCTTTGGGGCGCACGGCTTTCTTCCGGCTCTCCACACCTGCGCTGTGGATCAGCTTCACCAGGTCAGCCACCACCTCTTCCACGTCTGACTGCAGGAACAGGTGACCGGGACGTAACCATGGTGCCACAGGGACATCGGGGTACAAAAACTGCAGCTGTTGCACTGGCCGGGAATCGAAGCCGAGTGTTCCGTGTGGCAGGCGAGAATTCTACCACTGAACCACCCATACCACATGTGGAGGAGTCCTGACACCTGACCCACGAGATGCCCCAGACCCAGTGGTTACAGCAGGGACAGATATGGGACACCAACTTCCGCAAAAAGGAACCCCAACAGACAGCTCGGATGCTGCCGGAGCTCCAGCCATGGGACCACCTCTTCCTGCTGACTCAAACATCAACTCCAGGAAGAGGAGGTTATCATTAGCCATAAGGGTTAACACCGACAAGAGTAAAATTCACTCTCTTCTCAGAGCTGCTGCAGAACCTGCCCCAAGTGGCCCCTCTCACACTGGGACAGGGCCTCTCACCCCAACCAAACCAGGAACCTATCACTGCCCTGAGCCAGGGGCACCCACTGCCGCCATCCCAGGGCCCCTCACTGACACCAAGCCCTGAGCATCTCCCTGACACAGGAGTCAAAAAGAGCTCCGTCAGCACCGTGCACACACACGGGAGCATCCGGGCTGGGATGGGGATGCCCCTGGGTCCACTCTGGGGGCAACTCAGGGAAACCTCCGGGCACCCGCGGCCGCCACCAAGGTTCCCCCACAGGGACAGCGGGGTACAAAAGCTACAACTGTTGCATTGGCCGGGAATCGAACCCAGGTCTCCCGCGTGGCAGGCGAGAATTCTACCACTGAACCACCAATGCCAGATGTGCCCAACACGTGGACACACACCGCCCCCACGGCTCTGCCAAACCCAGCACCGGTAGCTGCATCAGGGATAGACATTACTGCTGGGACACTTCCACCCACAGACAGCTCGGATGCTGCCTGGGCTTCAGTCATGGGACCATCTCTTCTGCTGCTTCACACATCACCTCCACCAAGGAGAGGCTGTCAGTAGCCTTCAGAGTTAACAGCAGAATAGGAAGACCTTGGAGGACCTGCAGGACCCATGCCATTGCACAGGGCAGCTCAGATACACTTCAGGTTCATGCTTAGTGACCCACCTGTGACAGGCCACAGCCACCCACCACACAAAGGCAGCTGCCTCCAGGGTGTAGGGCTAACCCCAGCCCCACGCAGCCCCCATCACCCTGGGTCAGGGCCCCTCAGTGCCACCAAGCTGGGGACACACTGATTGCCCCTGAGCCAGGGTGACTCACTGCCACCCAGCAGTACCCTGTCATTGCCACCAGACCAGGGACACTCACTGTTACCGAGCCAGGGATGCAAAGTGCTGCCAGCCCTGTGTCTTCCAATGCCCCTGACAAGGGCCCATCCCTGCCACTAAGCTCCCTGACACATGACCACAAGAGTCAAAAAATCCCTGTCACCAGCATACACCAACAAACACGGGAGCACCCCAGCAGTGCCACGGGTGCCCCTGTGGACCAGCAGATGTGGCCCAGGAAAAACACTATGGACACTCTAAAGGTCCCTCACAGGGATATCGGGGTACAAAAACTATGACTGCTGCACTGGGTGGGAATTATACCCGGGACTCCCACGTTGCAGGCGAGAATTCTACCACTGAACCACCAATGCCACATGTGTGATATATCACAGACCTGACCCACGACCCTCGGAATCCAGCACCAGTGGCTGCAGCAGAGACAGGCACTGCTGCTGGGATATCCCCTCCATAGGAAGGGGACACAACAGACACTTCGGATACTGCTGGGGCTCCAGCCACGGAACTCCTTCCTCTGCTCCTCTCAGACCTATTCCACCAAGGGAAGGGTGTCACTAACCTTCAGAGTCAAAAGCAGAATGGGAAGACCATGGACGGGCTGCAGAACCTGCTCTATGAAACAGGACAAAGCAGCCCAAAGCAGCACCCATCGCCCTGGGCCCCTCACTGACACCAAACCAGGAACCTATCACTGCCCTGAGCCGGGGCACCCACTGCCACCATCCCAGGGCCCCCCACTGACACCAAGCCCTGAGCATCTCCCTGACACAGGAGTCAAAAAGAGCTCCGTGCACACACACGGGAGCATCCGGGCTGTGGCGGGGGTGCCCCCTGGGTCCACTCCGGGAAACCTCCCCTCCGGGCATCCGCGGCCGCCGCCAAGGTTCCCCCACAGGGACACCGGGGTACAAAAGCTATAACTGCTGCATTGGCCGGGAATCGAACCCAGGTCTCCCGCGTGGCAGGCGAGAATTCTACCACTGAACCACCAATGCCAGATGTGGAACAAGCCAGCGCGCTGCTCCACGCCCTTCTATCTAGGGCGCCAACCTCTGCTTCCAGCAGTTCATCTATGCCAGCCTTCCCATAAGACCATTCTGCAGGGAGGGAGCTATGCATGCCCTCCTCAGTTTACACACCCGTGGGTGCATGTCCCCACAGTGCACACATGCATTGTGTGTGCATGTACTCCACATCCGTGCCCATGGCATGTGTGTCTGCATGCACAGGCACTGGGTGCTCATAGCAACCCTGCAAGGGGTATGTAAGGCCATGTATGAGTGTGTGTCTGGCGCTGGGGTGCCACAAGGGGCCCAGAGCCTCCCCACCTGCTGGTACTTGCTGTACTCCTTGCCCAGGGCATCAAAGAGCTGGCAGAGCTCCTGTGTGTACTTCCAGGATGGGTGCTTCTCTGGCAGCACCTCATGGATCCGCAGCACAGCCTGGGAGCTCACGTGGAACCAGAGGTACCGCAGTGCCACCTCCGACACTGTCCCATTGCGCTGGGGGAGACAGGGTGGCCCAGGTGAGACCTATGTAGCTCTTGTGGGCCCCCAGAATGTCCCCATCACGGGGCTATCCCTTGCCACCTTCTTACCAAGCGGGTGATGTTGGATGGCCGCAGCACCTCCTCATACTGGACCTGGACCACATAGTTGATGGGGAAGTAGTGCTTCTGGAAAGGCAGAGAAGAGCTCGGGGGCTGCCAGGCTAACAGGGATGCCCC